TTTTTATTATTATATATATATATATATATATATATATATATATATATATATATATATAACAAGGGAGTTAACTCACTTCTTAGATGGAAACCAAGTTATACTCTTGATCAGAATTCTCTAGGACAGTTATCCCCAAATGGTGCAGCTGAAGAGGATAGCAGGTGAGGTACAATGATTGAAAGACAATCAAAGATTTAGAAATAGTTTTCAAAAAATTCATATACCAAAAATAAATGATTTCAAAATTTAGATTATTGTTATGGATTACTTGTAAATGAATGCATGAGTTCCACTATAAATAATTATTGACCGATTTTATCACTGTGATATTTTTGCATTATATCAAGTATTAAGAATATAGTAACAAGAGTTTTCAAATTGGAGGAGAGAATTATCAATGATAATGGTCTGACTTCGAATCCGCGGTTATCTCCCTTTAACCCACACTCGTGGTTTTTTTTATTTTTAAATGTACTTTTTATCACATAAAATTTGGTGAGATGCGAACAAATTTTAATTGTGAAAATGCAGCCCAGAGAAAAATAGTTCAGGAACAATCACTCTAGGACAGCAGAGAAGAAAAGGGATTTCAAAATGGCGTCACACATTCCCACATGTTCCTCCCCTTCCCTCCTAAAAAAAACTATTAATCTACCAGTAATCCACTGGATTACATCCAGTTTTACATCTATTTTTATCCATAAATAATAAACGTATTAAGGTTTGAATTGTGTGTTCATTCTTAAACACACTCAGTGACACAACACAGACAGAAGCAATTTATAAATTTTATAAAACAAAATCATTCACTTTTGTATGTTATTTATTCAAAATATTTTACAAAGAAACATATAAATATTACATTACAAAAAATATAATTACAATTTTAAGAATTATTAATATTGAAGCATTTTTCCATTATAAACTATATACATATATAAAAATACAATACTGAAAATGAAATGGTTTATGTGGTCAATATCCACATGTGAAAAGTTTGTAAAAACATCTGATAACAGACTTTTTGGCATTACAGAAAACTAGTATAAGCAATGATACAAATTAAAAACTGACTCATTGTAACTGGGATATAATGATTTATAGTAGAAAGTAAAAATAATTTTTCAGCAAATGATTTGACTATCATAAAGTGAACTTACTTAACTCATTAGCATGTTATTTTAAAAATATTTTTGATTGAAGTAAATTGAATGATGAAAGTTAATTTTCTTTATCTTATGTTATTCTTATATTTTTCAGGCACCATTTCTTTCATGTGCTATGTCCTTTCAGATCATAACTCCCCAACAACTTCCAGTCTTTTCTAGTTCTAACCTGCTTTTAACTCATCCAAACTCATTAGGTAGGTTATTTGTTATTTTCCTTTGCTCCTCCTGCCTTCAGTATGTCCTGTGAGTATCAAATTTTTCAAGTCCACTTTCCTTATTACGTGTTCCTGAAATTTTAACTTTTTCTAGTATCAAAGTCTATGACAAAAGATCTTCAAAGCTGCTACACACTTGACCAATGGGAAATAATAGATAAATAGATGAAAACTTTGGGATCAAGTGTCACTTGACTGGAAGTTAGAAAGTTCCACTCACAGGCTTATATGAACACAGAATTGAAGGTAAATTCTTGGACATCTGTTGGTGTGTACAGACTGTCAAGACAGTACTGGTGTACAGGCTATCCATCAGAGAGAGTTCTGAAACTGCTCATTGGGCTGTACAGGCTGACCATTGAGGGAAAGTTCCAATGCCAAGTTGTCAATTGTTGTGATGCTGAAATGGGCAGATGGGTGGTATGAGAAAGTCAGATTTATTGCTTATTGAAGGGAAAAGTTGATCCGTGGTCTATCATGACAGAAGTTGTCCCAAGTGTCACCTACCTATCTACCTACCTATCTATTAAGACTGTGCAAGTGAATCCCTGTATGTACAACTAAATATATTTCCCTTATGAAGGTACAGCAGACCTTTCATAGTTTTTATGTACATTGATACAAATGGGTTATTTGTTCAGTTGGTGAAAAGCTTAAAGAGACTTTCATAATGCTATGACTAGGATTTTCAACCTGGGAGAGAAATATTGAATGGATTGCACAGAATTTCACTGAGACCACTTTCTACCTTTCATCAGTATGGCAGAGGTTAACCTCCAGGAGAGTGACTTGTGCCTTTTTCGGTTAACGTTCTCAGATGACATGAAGGGGACAGACTACATTGAATCCACTGCTAGGTTACTTGTTAAGAAAGTTGGTTCACTGTGTCATGTTGTGACCTTCCCGATGACATCAGCTCTCAACTTGGCATCTGCACTGATGACACAACCATTTACTCCTGCCTCAATAGTAAGGCTGATCAGTTTGACAAGGTCAAAATGGCAGCTGATGTTCAAAATGACCTCAAGTCAGTCATTAACTGGGGCAAAAGATGGCTTGTCAATTTTAATGCCTCCAAAACTAAACTGCTTGAAAGACCTCTCTCTGCCTTCTATCGGCATGGCTAATGCTAATTTCCAGGAAAGTGACTCATTGCACCTTCTCTGGATAATGTAGAAAGACTATATTGAATCAATGCTAGTCAGCTGTTAAGAAAGTTGACTGTGTGGTGTAAGATAATCTTTTCTCTCCAGAATCTATCTTACATATCTATAAGTCTACTATTTGCCCATGCTTAGAATATTGCTGCCACATATGGTCCAGTGCTCCTGCTGTGTATTTGGAAATTCTTGACAAAATCCAAAGAAGCATCAGCTATATTATTGGTCCACACTTGGCATCTTGGCATCAGTCATCTTCCCACCACTTCCCTGTGCCTTTTCTATAAATACTTTTATGGTAATTGTTCAGATGAGCTCTTCACTATGGTACCTAGACTTTATGAATTTAAACACAGTACTAGATTGGTAACAAGTTGAATTGGCAAGATGTAACCATAAGTTCTATATTAACAGTTTCTTCTATCACACTTCTTGCTTGTGGAACTCTCTTCCAGCTCCAATGCTTTGACTTTCAAAAAGATAAATGCAATGTCAATCATTATCTACTGTCTTCCTGATTACTCTTCTATTGTTCTTGATCCTTAATAATGTTTCTGTTTAGTAATTCTTTCACACGTAGTAACCCCTTGTGTCTAAATGGCTTTATTGACTTGCTTGGACTAAACTCAATTAAAAAATAATTCTTCTAGTAGCGATAACAAGGATATGTAATAAATAAATACAATTTAAAAAATATAGTTAACTTTGTTATTTGTTTTTTTTTTTTGTAATGTCAAAAAGCTGAAAAAAATCAAACATTTAGTGTGTGTGTGTGTGTGTGTGTGTGTGTGTGTGTGTGTGTGTGTGTGTGTGTGTGTAAAGGTTGAAATAGAAATAGAAATAAATAAGATAGGCATTACACCTTGAATCTTACACACAAATTCATACATAGTTACAGATTATCATAATTATTTCATACATTGAGCACATAAAAAATGCATGATTTTTTAAATTTGTCACTAGTTAAGTTTGAACATGAAACCCAGAAAATTAAGTTTCTTGCTTTTGCATTATCCAAATATTTTAATCCATGGATTTAACAGTTTTTTTGTATAATGTTTGGTTCATTCAATTTTTTAATGTTTGTTTTATTGGTTTAGGAAAAATAATTTAATGCATTCTGAGATTCATTATTTTTTAAATTATTTTGAGTATTTGAATGTGATCTGTTTGTAATTCATATTTTTTTGCTTGATGGCATGTCATATCGGATACATATAAGACACATCACAGTATTTACATTTAATATTATAGAGTTAGGTAGGTAGAAGCATTGGTATTCTATATCTGGGTAAAGATTAGCCTAGCTGATAACCATAATTTGTATATAAACCTCCCCTAATGAAATGCCTCACAGCATTTTTTCTGTTTGTATACTTAAAGATTTTTGGTGGTGGTGGTGGTGGGGGGGGTTTAGGTTAGAATACATTTTATTTAACTATGATTTTAAGAATATTTTCACTTTTAATTTTTAATATACTATATTTCTTTTTAAAACAAGTAAATGTATTAGAATCACTTACAGTATGTAAAATTATTTTCACATCAAGTATAAGTATGTATATTACTAGGTCACAATTTTTT